TCACCTCCGGGGCAGGCGGGAATCGAACTCATGCGGAAAGCGGCTTTAGATTCTCAGTGCTGTGCTTTAACCCGCTGCGCCACCAGGGAGGGCCCTGGGCCTTTTTTAATGTCCAAGAAAAGGCAATTCCATGGTGGCAAGAATTGTGAAGGAAACATTATGTAAAGCAAACTACTAAAAATGAAGCTACCATATGTCCTGGCAATTGCATTCCTAGAAATCTGCCCAAAGAACACAAAAACATTAATTCAAAATGATACCTACCTGCATGCCTGCTTATTGCAGCACTATTTATAATAGGTAAGATATTACCTATTACCTATCCAAATGCTCAAAAATAGATGACTGGATCGAGAAGATGTAGTATATATATATATATACACACAATGAAATACTGCTCAGCAATAAAAAAGATAAATTCCTGCCATTCACGGCAACATGCATGGAGCTAGAAGGATTATGCCCAGAAGAAAGATTGTATGGTTTCACTGATAGGAGGAATATCAGGGAACCAAATAAGGGAGCAGAAAAAATAATAATAATAATAAATAAAAAACAAAACTAACAGGCAATTATAAATCAGAGACATTCTGTGGGTTGGGAGGGAGAGCTCAAAACAGAAGAGGGAAGAAAACAAGGGACTTTAATGATGGTGCATGGGTGAACTGGTGGTGGGAATTTTATGGGGACTACAATTGAAAAGAGAAATCAAACATTGTACAAAATGAACAAGGATTTAACATATATACATATATGTTATTTTTTAAGTTTATAATAGTTTATTTTTACATATTTTTGTGCATTTTTCCATCTAAGTTGCAATCCCCTAGGTTTTCCAATCACCAAATCACCCATGGGCCATCACCATAGTCCAGTGCACTTCTCTCACCACACTGTTTTGATCCCATCCCCCACTCCACCCCCACAAAATGTCTCTGGTATATAGATGTTCATCATTATCATTATTTTCTCACCTGTTCCATTATATTCCTGCTGTGAGAGAAACCATCCGGTATTTTTCCTTTTCTTTCTGGCTTATAAATAAGTTATTTTTAAAAAATAATGAAATAAAGTTTTCAAGTAAAAAAATAAAAGAACTATGAGATCTGAGATCTTCCTCTGTAAGCTAAGTTTGTCTGCCACAACTGCATGGATGGTAACAAAGACTGAAGGTTCCTTGGCCCAAGACAAATGATGCAATTGTGTATGATGCAGCAGGCAGCATGAGCATATTTGCTTTAACCCCCTTTGGCTCTCAGTCCCCTGTAGTGATGCAGATGTGGCAGCATGTAGCAGAATGCATTAATGTGAGGAACCTAAGTAGACACCCCAAATCTTTCATAAAGGCTTTTTTGTGCCAAAGAAAGACACCATCTACCCCGAGTCTGTTCACTATACAAGCTTTCTTTAAAGGAGTGTGCCTAACAGAAGGCAGAGAAAGTGAAACAGAAACTCATGGAGAATAATTTGCCAGCACGGGGCAAAGTCAACAGGCATTAAAATACCTAATGTTGATTGGATGCTTAAGTGTCATCAACTGTCCTATTTTATATGTATTATTTCCTTTTTTCCTTTCAAAAAAAAATATGAGAAAATACTAAATTTATAAATGGGGCAAATTTTTATAAATTAAGATTTTCAGCATGCAAATTAATAGCAACAGTAGAGCATTTGGAAACTCACAGGAGAATTAGGGAGAGTGTCTGAATCTACTAGAGGAGACCATCAGAACTCTTGACCTACTCTGCCTTTGTCTGCTTCTCTGTATCACTCTGGTCCACGTGGCAGCATATCCTTGCCCCAGTGCCCAACTCACTATGTTTTAGCTAACTTCTGAAAATGATTAAGAATCCCCAAATTCAGTGACAAGTTCCACAAAAAGAACATGATTGACCCAGATTTAGTAATATGACTAATCAATATTATATTTGTGTCAGAAAAGATAAAAATATAATACCAAATATATAAATTAATTTAAACAACCACAAGTAGTAAATATTGTGGCCCCACTTCCTGATGTGTATCTTTTTGTAGGCTGTGAGGTTCTGAAGAACAGGAATCTATTGTTCTATTGAACACATGCACAAGAGAGAGGAGAAGGGGAGAGAAGAAAGGGGAAGAGGGAGAGGGGGAAAGAAAGAGAATTATCTGTCACTAGGATTTTTTTTAATACTTAATAACATTCTAATTTAGGATCTTTCTGCAAGTTAATAAATCACTGAATATTTATATTGCTTCCAATTTTTCACTATTAAACAACATTGCAAGGTTGATAAGTTTTAAAAGTCTTAGTTATAATTATTAATTAATTATAATCAATTATAATTAATTATTAGTCAATTATAAATGTGATTATTTTATGTAAGTGGAACTCTGGCTATTCACTTTGTAGAGTTTCATATATAATTAAATTGCCTTCTTTCCAAATATGTTATATTTATACTCCTGGTAGTTGTGTAAGTGGTTCTAACATGATATTCTTAAAAATATTTAACATGGCCCTCCCTGGTGGCACAGCGGGTTAAAGCATAGCACTAAGAAGCTAAAGCCTCTTCAGCATGACTTCGATTCCAGGCCCAGGAGGTGACCCTCATGGTGTGGCAGACCTCTCTTGACCTGCCAGCTGTTCCCCTCAGCAGTGTACTTCTTTGATCTGCCTGTTCTGCTCCCCACGCTGTCTCCAGTGAATTCTCTCACTGCACCTCTGGCCTCTACCCCAGTTCTGTATGCATAAATAAATAAATCTTATATATATACATATATATATTTAACACGTAAAAGTTATATATCTTTATATTTTACTAGTTTAAAAAAATTTAATCCAGGTATTTTTCAGTGTCTTAATAGCCATTACTATTCCCTGCATGAAAGTCTTCCCCGTTGTTGCTAGGGGTTGAGTCTCAGCACTATGAAGCCATCCACAGCCACTACACCATGAGTTGGATCCCTGGCCAGGGAGGTGACCCACATGGCGCAACTCACCTCAGCAGCTCCCAGCGTCACAGCATATCTGCCTATTGTGCTCCTCCGTACACGCCAGGTCTTGTATGCAAAAATAAAGTAACTGATAAATATATGTATATATATTTGCATATCCCCTGCATGAATTGCCTGTTATATGCTCCTGCTGGCTGGAATCAAGTGTTCTCTTAACGTCCTCTGTTTTTAGGATGATGGTTGCAGAGTTGATGCTCACAAAGCTTTGAAAACAAATACATAGGAAAATCGAGTGGTCAACTGTTTCGGTCCTTGTGAGAATAATCATGCCAGCAAAACCTTGCCATTGTGTGCCATTTTAGGATTTATAAAGAATTTATTAGCGGCTTTGAATCCCACTAGTACTGTATGCTGTTATCTTCAGCACTTTATCACGTGGGGCAAAGCCTGGAGTCACTGAGGTTGAGCTAGATAAGCGCTAAATACCAGATACATCCTACAGTATGAGAAACCCGGGCTTCCTTCAGAGGAACTATTGCTAGTTTGTCCTCCACACACCAGAGGGCGATGTAACGGGAACGAAAGGCATACAGCCCGTATTTCCCAGAAGGTCTCTCCGCGATCCCGGGAATGCTCAGCAGCCCAGGACTTCAGGTTCCAGGGTGCTGTGCGGCTCCACGTGACTTGGCTCCCGATCCCTGCGTGGAAGTGTCGCCTGCGTGGAAGTGTCGCTTTTTGTCCGACGCATCTGAGCTTTTAAGCTGTACCATGTTGCCAGGAAATGGGCGCCGGAAGGGTCTCAAACAAGATCCTGCTTTCTTAGGCTGATAACCGCGGGCACCTGTGAAGGGAGGGCCGGTGGGAAGAGCGGCGTCCCTCTGAACCATGTTTGTGAACTGTGCGTCCGTCTGAATAGGCCCAGCTTCTTGAGGCCGCCTTAGGAACCTGTGCGAAGAGGGTGGGCTGCGACGGCCGGAAACTACATTTCCCAGCATCCTCGCGGGGCCAGAACTACCTTGCCCGAGAGCCTGAGCGTGAGCCAGTCAGTGTTTTGCTCCTCCCGCCGGCCGGAATACTGCGGACATGTGGAGTCGCTGTGCTTGGAGACTCCTACTTTATGAAGGCAGTGGGGGCCGCCGAGTGTCAGCCCCCCGCGGGCGTTCCTCGCCGGCACTGCGAAGAGGTGAGCAATGGCAGCGCGTGACTGCTGCTAGATTACGCTGTCAGGAGATGGTGCTGCGGGTGGCGGGTGGCGTCTGGCCGGGCGAGCCCAGACGAGGGTGCCACGCCCTCCTCCCTGCCGCAGTCTGGCGCCGGCAAGTCTCACCCGCGGAGATGCCAGTTCTCACCCGCATAGATCCGGGTAGGAAGGGTAGGACTGAGAAGAGGACCGCCTTTCTCCTGAGAGCAAGTGTCTTAGGCCGGGGGTTCCAATAGTGCCAGCTCTTCTTTTCCGATACCTTGTTTCCTTTTGTAGTGTCAGGTGAAGCCGATAATCCCCGCCCTCTTGTAGCTCTGTAAGCAACTTTAACCTGTGTTGGGGCCTTCGTTTTTTTTTTTGGGCCTTTTTCAACTTTTTTCGTTTTTTTTTTTTTTTAAGTGCTGTCCTCAAACCCAGGTGTTTGGTAATCCACATAGCATACGTTTCAGGTCAGGCTCTGTAATCTCAAAAGTGATTTTTCAGTACTCTGCAGTCACATAGTAGTCACTCATAAAACAAAACATGAACGCTAGAATCTTCGAGTGTTAAAAGTAACTGGCTCCCCTCTCAGCAATGTGTGCTGAAGAACATCAAACTTTACTCAGAAACACTTTTTCAGAATCTACGCAGCCCCAATATTAAATTCTTTAAAAATATTCTTAGAGTTGGCACTTCACGCCAGCCGTGGCATTCTCCGAGATAATTCACTTCTTGAATCTGTATTGTCAGGTGAAGTGAGCCAATCCCCAAACATATCTTCCCGATTTCACATTGTTCTTTGTGCTAATTATTAGCTCATGATTACATTTTACTCACACATCTAGACTGCAGTTGTTGATCTAAGACTGCTGTTTAGTTATCAGGGTCCATTCACAAGGTCTCTGGTTACATATACTTAGGTGTTTAGCCTACAAAGACATTAAGATCATGATTATGATTATGACATTGGGAAGTTTAGGAAAACTGGTAGCATTTTTTGAATCCTGGGAACTCCCTCCAGACTTAGTCCTGTCTTTGTAAACTGAGTGTGTCTTCATACTCAAGTGAAAACACAATTCAACATTTTTAGGGAATAAATTGAAGTATAGATCATCTGGAAAAATACAGTAAATGTTAATTTTTTAATGTTTGTTGAATTACCCTACTTGAATATGAGTGTTCTTGGCCCCTTGCACCTACGGTGATTTGAATCCCTTATCACTAAACATTTATTGAAACTTTACCACAGGGCCTTCTCTGGTGATGCAGTGGGTTAAAGCATAGCACTATGAAGTTATCTACAGCCACAACAGCATGAGTTCAAGCCCCAGCCAGAGAGGTGACTCACATGATGTGACAGACCTCTCCTGACCTGCCCACTGCTCCCCTCAGCAGGGTATTTCAGTACATCTGACTATTCTGCTCCCCACTCTGTCTCTGGTGAATCCTCTCATCCCTGGCATCTGACCTGTACCCCAGTCCTGTATGCATAAATAAATGAATTTTTTTTAATTTACCACATACAGTACATATACACAATGGAATATTACTCAGCAACCAGAAAAATAAACACATGCCTTTTGCAGCAACATGGATGGAGCTGGAAAAGATCATGCTTAGTGAAGTAAGGCAGAAAGAAAAGGAAAAGTACTGAATGGCTTCACTCGTAGCAGGAGTATAAGGGACCAGGCGAGAAAATAATAATAATAATAATGATGAATAGTTATATACCAGAGACATTTTATGGGAGTAAAGTGGGGAATGGTATCAAAAACAGTGGGGGGAGGGAAATGCCCTGGACTGTGGTGATGGCACATGGGTGATTTGGTGATGGGAAGCCCATGGGGATTACAACCGAGATAGAAAAATGCACAAAGTGATGTAAAAATAAACTATTATTTTTTTTAAAAAAAAGTACGACATACAAGTTAGTTAAACTTTCCCAATTGTGTTAGTAATCAAAGAATTTGAAAGCATTGTCCTCTAACCCATGGAATGGTCTTAGTTATCATTTAATCCAATTCCTTGTGAAAGATGAATAAGAAAAGCCACAAGAAGTTGATGTGATTTGTCTTAGTTTTATGACTAGTAGTTCTAGATTCCTAATTCATTACTAACTTCCCAAACTTAGCAAAACATCAGAAACACTGGGATGTTTTTGAAAATACAGATTCTTAAGACACTATGCCAGAACTACTGAGTCAGTCTCCAGGGGCAAGCTCAGGGATCTCTTAATTCTTAATAAAACTTGGTAACAGGATGCAACAAGTAGAGCATGTATCATCAAAGCAGCAGGTAGAAATACATATTAATGACCATGTCACTGAAGTGTTTCTGCTCTAAACTTAACAGCAATTAATATAAAACTTGCAGTTTAGGTTTAATGAGACATTGTTTTTACTTGTTTTTTATCCACAATAAAATTGGATTTCTTCAGTGAGGAAGCAGCATAGTTCATGGTTAAGTCATAGTTCTAGTCCAAGATATACAACTGAATAACTTGTGACTCTGGTTGAGTCTTTAACTGTGTGTTTGCTTCCCACTGTAAAAACCCCAAGTATGAAATATTCAAAAATAAAAATGAAATGAAGGGCTTGAGGTTTTGTACAGTCATGTGGGTTCTGGAAGCTTTAACGATATTAAGAGCTTGTTATTTGACACTGGGCTGGAAACTCTGATTCTCTTCTATCTGTTAATATGCCTGCAAAAACTTATCTTAAGCAGTGCTTGCAAGTTGAAGTGCTCGTGACATTATCAGATCAATGATCATGATACCCTGCTATGAATATCAGATGGCTTTTCCAATTCCTTTTCGCCTCTAAAGGGGATTGTCCCCACAAAGTTCAACTTTGAGGGTGGGTATAAATGCCTTCCTGTGAGAGCTGAGCAGGAGGATTACTTCAGTATTGAGCACATAGAAGAGATGCTCACACATCATTCTGAATTCTTAGTCATCACCATCTCCATAGTAAATAGAGCCCAACGTTGGAATGGCAAAGGCATTCATCCTTCGTGTATTATGTTCATTCTTTTCCTCCTGTATGGATAAGTTCTCTAAGCAACGGCCAGCTGTATCTCCTCTGTATTCCCTTAAGGTTGTATCTTGATCATCACACCTCAAAAAACCCATAGTCTTATTCATCATTGACCCGCAGTATCTACCACAGAGCTTTCAGCTAGTATCTTACTGAGCCCAGAATGAGCCCAGATGAGCCCAGAATTATGTTAGGCATTGGGGATCCAGTGGTAGGTAACAACAGGTATAATTCCTGCTAACAAGGACTTTATAGTCTAATGTGGGGGTCAGCAAACTTCTGTAAAGATTCAAGTAGTTGAATATGTTAAGCCTTATTGTCTACACAGTCAATTGTAAATACTCAACCATAGATAATGCATAACTGAGTAAGTGTGACTGTTGCAATAAAACATTTTAGAAGAACAGAAGGGACTGTGGTTTGCTGATTTGACCCCAGCCTAGTGGGAAGTAAGCGATTAACAATCATTAATGTTTATGCTGTGAGAGGGATAGTGAAAATATTATGGAGTACTGTGAAAGACCCAAATAAGCAAGACCTGACCTCGAAGAGTCTGGGCAGGTCTTCTAGAAGATGAGATCTTTGTACTGAGCTCTGAAGGGTAAATAGGAGTAGGGAAAGAAAAGCAGAACTTTCTGTACAGAGGCTGTTCCGAACAGGGACTCCCATCTCAAGAGAGCTCTGAGATGGAGAGGTATGTGGCACTTTTGTGGAACTAAAATGAAATAGCCCTTGACACCAGAAGGCCAGATAGCAAATGGTGGGATATGAGACTAGAACTGCACCTGCATAGATTTGTTGACAGTGACACTTCTGATTACCCAAAGGCAGCAGAAAGCTTCTCTTTGTGGAAGTCATTCAAACATTTGTTGACTGAAATCAGGCAAACTACCAATCTACCTGGTGTTAAAACCATAAGATCTCAGATGATTTACTTAACTATTGTGAGCATCAGTTTTCCTCATCTATAACATGACAATTTAAAGGATAAGAAGTGAGTATGAAAATAGACAGATTGTAGGCCCTCTCTGGTAGCGTAACAGATTAAAGTGCAGCACTGTGAAGCTCGCTGCAGTCACTTCAGCACAAGTTTGATCCCTGGCCAGAGAGGTGACCCACATGGCATGGCAGACCTCCCCTGATCTGCCCGCTGCTCCCCTCAGCAGTGTATCTTGTTAATTGTGGCTTACTCTGCAGGACCTCAAGTGCACCTGTCCACCCGGCTAATGTACGTGGATGAGCACACTCCCCAGTAAGGCTAACAAGTCAGCAGAGCACAGTACACTCTGCCCTGCAAATAGCTGCAGCCCCCTACTTTGTATCAAGCAGAAACTACAGAAAGCTAACATGCACCCCACCCCCTACTTCGGGCACATTTCCTGTTTTTCCCTGCACCTACTGACCTTATATATACCCTTGGGCAGTCCTGATAAACAGACTTTGGATTTCAGACCCCAGGCTCCTGCAAACCCCAGGCTCCTGCTTCAGTTTCTTTTGCAGCTCTGAGTCTCCTATATTCAGGCAGGAGTCAGCGCACCCATGGGTGGGTCTGCAACAGTTGATCTGCATGTTCTGTTCCCTGCTCTGCCTCTGGTGAATCCTCTCACAGCCCCTGCATCTCTGGCCTGTACCCCAGTTCTGTATACGTAAATAAATTTTTAAAAAGACAATAGTAAGGTTTTATATAATGGTTATTACTGACTTTTAAATGCCAGATTAAAGACCATACTTTATATCAAAGGAAAAGAACTAAAGAATACCAGTCTTTATTACTGAAACAATTATTATTAGAACTACTATTGAAACCTGTTCTTCTTTTTCCAACTTTCCCTTTTCTCTCCTCCCTGAGGGTTAATATTGACATACAAAGTGCAGTGCTTAACCTTTCTAGATGGCACTCAGTGGTGACTGCTATGCTATTATATATACATTTATGTGTGTGTGTGTGTGTGTATGCTGTTATATATACATTTCAAAATTGATCCACATTTACAGCAGCTTCCTCTTACCTAATTAAACAGAATTCATCAGGATTCATCTAAGTATTTGAATGAATTAGTCTTGACAGTACTCTAACCATTTGAATTTAGAATTTATGTTTAGAATGTTTCCTGTCTGTAAAGTCAATGATGACATTAGTTATGCCTAGTTTTACTCATCATCCCTGTGCATCTGTGCAGATGTTTGTTGGCTGGAAAGATAGATAGGAAGGAATCACATTTGTCCTATATTAAGTTAGCATATCTTGAGGTTACTGTAGCTCTGTTTTTTACATGCCTAAATATCGTAAGTGGCTTTGGATAAATTAAGAAAAACAGCATGGGGTGATGGAGAGAGAATGAGATTTGGACAGGATCCTGAGTCTGCATCCTGATTCTGTCATTGTCACTGATTCTGTCGGGCAAAATCCTTGAACTTTCCTGCTCTCAGTTTTCTTACCTAAAAAATGTGTACACTGTAACATTGCCTTGGTCATATATCAAGCATCTACTATATAGTCCTTAGTGTTTAGTTATGATAATTAAGTATTTTACTCCAACATAGTAACATTAATAAAGGTGATGTGTGCAGAGTTCTCTCAAGAAAAAAAAAATGTAACAAACTCATCAGCAATATAGGGAAAAGGATTTTGCTGTATCTTGATTAAAATTGAGATTTATTGAAACAGGATATTTATTTCAAAAATGACAACCGTTTCATAGGGTTCTTTGTTGACATCAGTACATATACTCCAGAGATTAATCCAGAAATTCAAGAATAAAATATTGTGCCCCAGCTGTTTTCAAGCATTTTTGTAAGTACTGAAGTCACAGTGAAAAACAGGCAAGGCCTCATGGAATTTATCTTCTAGTTTAAAGAAACAAACCCTAATCAGGATAATTTCAAATTAGAAATGAGAACTATGTAGGAAACATAGAGTACGAGTACAGAAAACTATTAGGTTGGGGTGGAGGTATGGAAAATGGTCACAGCCCTATGGAAGATTTTTGAGCACTAGTACTAGACAGTTTCTGCTCTGTAGTAGTTAAGAGATGTGGCAGCAATAGAATTATATTACATTTTATTAATATATAATTTTTTATATGTTGTATGTTATATATTGCAAATTGTATAAAAGTTTAGACTTTTAAAAGTACTAAAAGGATGGAAGGAAATATTTATTACATTTTGTCATATGTAGAAGAATGCAAGCATATCAGATAAATCAGCAATCCAGAGGAGTCAAGTTTTCTTGACATTGCAGAATTCCTAGTAGGAGAGCTAGAAATCTGCTATAAAACATGGGGGAAATGTTAATGTACTAAAGAAAAAACTTTCTTATCTTTTCAGACTTCTTGACTACCACAGCCAAGGAAGGATATGATATGAGGCCAGTGGACATAATTCCTTTAGAACAAAGGAAGTTAACTTTTGATACCCATGCCTTGGTTCAAGACTTGGAAACTCACGGTGAGAAACCTAGGTACTTCATGAAAGAAGTAAATTAATAGCACTCAGTAAATTACCTAGTCAAGATAATACTGCTATTATGAACAATTAATAATCACTAGTGCTATTCATATGATGAAATATTTAAGTCAGAAAAATGGTATTTTTGAAGTATACCATGAGAAGAGGATGTTTAATATATTAAATGAAAATAGCAATATAAAATTGCATATGCCAAATGATTGTGATTATGTAAAAAAACAAAACTGTAGTTTCTACACTGATTCTAAAGTTCTTGTGAAATAACTAGAACATGTTATAACTAGAACATGGAATAACAAGAATAGCAAAGTAGGAAATCAAAGAACAAACAAGAGCTATCAGCTATCAAAAAGTAATTTCAATTATGTGATAATACAGGAATAAAAAAGTTGATTAATAGAAAAGTCTGTGTGTGTGTGTGTGTGTGTGTGTGTGTGTGTGTGTTTAATCAGCAATAAGCCATTACAGTTAAGGAAAGGAAGTACTTCAGTAAGTGAGAAATGACTAGCCCTGAAAAAATGGATATCCTACTGAACACAGATTCTAGATTAAAAGCTAAGTAAAAAAAAAATTAAAGAAATACTATGAAAAATATTAGATTATAGACTGTTTTAAACATGCAGAGTGAGAAATAAGACATAAAACTCAAGAGTAATGAAAGTAAAGACTGACAGATGTTAACTACAGAAATACTTAAATTTACTGTATATCAAAGCATATCATCCAGGGGCCTTTTGGTAGTGTCAATGATTAAGTCTCAGCACTATGAAGTTTGATCCCCAGCGGGGGAGCTGACCCACATGGCACAGCAGACCTGTCCTGTCTCACAGGCCTGCTGGCTCCCCTCAACAATCTGCCAGTTCTGTACCCTGCTCTGTCTCTGCTGAATCCTCTCACCTCTCCCCCTCATCTCTAGCTTGTACCCAGTTCTTGTATGTATAAATAAATGAATTTTTTTAAAAAATCATTTGTAAAGTTAAACTGTTAGCAACACATCTGACAGAGGGTTTAATATACAAAACAGGCAACTCACAGAAAAATAAATACAGCCAGTAAATATATGTAACAATTCCTGACCTCACTACTAACCAAAGATGCAAATTTGAGTACACATTTAAATAGCATGCAATACCATTCTTATGCCAATTTTTCACTCAAAAATAAAAAAGAATAGTAATAGCCAAGGTTGATACATATGTGGGAAAAGGATCATTGGCATTTAAAACTTACAAAGTAGTTTAACATGTCAAAGTTTTTTTTTTTGTAATCATATTTTTTTTAATATTACTTAAATCTCGAAGAAAGTTATCCTACCTGTTCTGTTAAGGGTATGTGTGCACTTTTAAAAATATATATAAATACCTATTTGCTTTCTGCAGGATTTGACAAAACACAAGCTGAAACGATTGTCTCAGCATTAACCACTTTATCCAATTTAAGCCTGGATACTATCTATAAGGAGATGGTCACTCAAGCTCAGCAGGTATGTTTTCACCTTTTATGACTCTGACAGTTTCATTAAATACTCTTTTACATGACCTATCTCTGTCTACTGCCTTCCTTCAGTATACTTCTGCATCTTCCTTACTGTTCTGATGGAACTGGAAAAAAAAACCTGAATGTAGTCAGTACTTAGAGATTGAGGAGTTAAAATGCTAATAGCAAAAATATACAGAAAATAACATCAAATTTTTCATTTGTGTGAGATGCATTATTTGAATCTTGAGATAATGGTAGATCATTAGTAAAACAAGATTTTCTATATAGAAAGTCCACCAGAAGAGCTAACCTTTTTATGTAATACAAACATTTGACTACAGTCATGTGCATTTTGTTTAATTTTCTTAGACTTTCAAACCTGAAACAGACTTACATGTCTGGAAAAGACTTTAGTAATCACCTAAAATGCCTTACTATGACTAGATATACACATTTCTTCAAGTCTAATAATTAATAATGTCTTTCACTAAGAACTTATGAGGTAAGAGACACAGTTCTGGGGACTTCTCATGTCTTATTTAATTCCTCTTAACAACCTTGAAAAGTAAGTAGAATTCCATTTTGTCATTGAAGAGAGGATCAAAAAGATTCAGTGACCTAGCTTTCATTGTAGTGCTATGGACAAAAAGCAGCATCTTTTTTTTTTTTAAGAGATTTATTTATTTGTGCATACAGAACTGGGGTACAGGCCAGAGGTGCAGGGAGATTCACCAGAGACAGATTGGAGAGCAAAATAGGCAGATCTACTGAAATACACTGCTGAGGGGAGCAGGCGGTGAGACAGGAGAGGTCTGCCACATCATGTAGGTCACCTCCCTAGCTGGGGATCGAACTTGTGCTGCATAGCTGCTATAGCTGTGCTCAAAAAGCACCATCATTATCTGTTTACTTAAACTGTGAGTAAAATTTACCATCTTAACTATTTTTGCTTGTACAGTATGTGATATTAAGGATATTTGCATTGTTGTATAAACATTAGCACTATGTATGTTAAATGAGGTTTTAAATTTTTTTTTTTTTCATAATGTTACCGACTATAATCTCATAGTTTATTTTGAAACTGGGAGTTTGTACCTCTTGATCCCTTTCACATATTTTGCCAGCCCTTTGCCAAATCTCTCTGATCAATAATTTTACATCAAGTTTGGAATAAGGTAAATGAGTTTAACTGGAATAGTTCATAGTATGTCGATTATGAATTAATTCACTATGTTTAAGAAACTGTTTTCTTCCTATGATTATATTCCCTTAATTCTGTCTTTTAAAATGTAAGATTCCTTTCTCAGATAAATATTTCACAGCGAAGAGAAATTGGGATTTCTTTCTTAAATAAAATTAGAATCACATTCTTAAAATTTCACTACTTTGAAAGTTATGAAGGATTGATAGTTTGTGAAGATTTTTACTGTGCTCTCCAGTTAACTGGGCATTGAGAATTAAAGGCATTAAACTCCTAGAGTTAATTTACTTTAATATTTGCATAAGTATTATTTAGCTTATTCTATTCAGAATCATAACAGACTACTAAACCCACTACAGAAAAAGCCAACCACTAATTCTCCCAAATCTCTGAGCTTTCCTGTAGCATAACAAATTCAATTCAAAATCATGAAAACAGTTCTAAGTCAGTGCATAACATTCCATCAGTCACTGGGTTATATCGATTTTGCTTTCTAGGAAATAACAGTACAACAATTATTGGCTCATTTGGACGCCATCAGGAAAGACATGGTTATCCTGGAGAAAAGTGAATTTGCAAATCTGAGAGCAGAGAACCAGGTGATACAAGTTTTACTTTATCACTAGTAAAAATATTGATCTCGCTAGGCTTCTTCTTGACGGACAGTAGGACCAAATAAAGCAGTGTATGGTTATTAAATAGTTACTAATGGGCCCTTAGATAAAAGTTACTCTATGTTTAATCATCCTGATCTGTCTATGTAAATAGAGTTTCTTGCTCATGTAAGAAGGAAAAAATACTTAACTGTATAAAAATTTTAGTATAATTTATAATGTTGTCAACTGAAAATAACGAGGCCTTTTCTATTTTATTTGAAGTATAATTTGGTTAGATTTTCTTGTTACTTAGTTTACAATATCAATTTTGTTGTTTTCAATTTAGAATATCATTTTTACAAAGTAGGTATTAAAATATATATTTACTAATGTCTTTCTAAGAATTATTTTCTGAATAATATGAAATTTTCTTTTATTTATTTTTAATCAAATTCTGTATTAGAAATTCATAGATTGTTCAATCATAATATAGCCTTTTTGGTTTTAATACTAACTGCTCATGATCTTTCTTATACCTAGAAAATGAAAATTGAATTGGAACAAGTTAAGCAACAACTGATAGTAAGTGAGACTTTTTGCCCACTTCAGAATATTTTACTAATTTCAGAATAAGTATAAATTATAAGATTACTTTTTAAAATGTTTTTGTTTTCTTCAAAGAACGAAACCAGTCGAATCAGAGCAGATAATAAACTGGACATCAACCTAGAAAGGAGCAGAGTAACAGACATGGTAGTGTGCTTTTAAACACTTGTTCCTTTTTAATTCCTTTCAGTCTTTTTTAAAAATCTTCTGATGCAAAAAAAAAAAAAAAATCTTCTGATGCATAATATCCTTTAGTTTACAGATCAAGAAAAGAAACTGATGGAAGCAACCACAGAATTTACCCATAGAGTAAGTAACATGTAAAAATTTCTAGTGCACTACTCTCCTGTATATGTAACTACTTTTGTGTGTATCATTTTATAAATCTGAACTTAAAATGTAGCTCTCAGGGTCCATCACTCACTCAAAAATTAGTTAGTCAACACTTTAGAGAGTAGCGCCTGAGCTGTGACTTCTGAGTCAGACTCAGGTTTTCCAGAAAGGATACTTTTTGGAGATCAAATCATTATCTCGTAGAAAGGAACTACTTTTTAAAAAATGATGGTTTATAATCAGTATTCAAATGAGTGCATAGGTCAAATTGAAGAATTAGTTTTAAAAATAACAGTAAATAATTTTTATTGAATATCAGGTACTGTTTTACTTCTATTAATTTATTTCTCTTCATATCAACTTCTGTGAGGTAAACAGGCATTTTTATCCTCAATTTCATCAATTTGGAAGATGAAACACAGGGAAGTTAAGGTCACAGAGCTAGTGAATTGGGAAAGCTGGGATATGAACCTGGACTCTATTTTTCTTAGTAATCGTAATTTTAAAAAAAAATAACTGTGGGGATTACAACTAAGATGAAAAAATGCACAAAATGAAGAATAATGTAAAAAATATAAACAAATATAAACTTTTAAAAATGACTTAACTTCTTTGATTTCAGTAAGACCCAGCTTTCTGACTCAGCCTAGTCTTTACTTAAAAGTTTAAAACCATTTGGCCTGACGGAGGACACATTAATCTTTCTCGTTTATCCATCAGTGCCCAGGGTAACGTGTTTCATTCAGTGTCATTTAGCTTTAACAGGAAAAAACAATCCCTGTCAACAGTGAGTGAAAAAACTTTGAGGACCTGCTTACATTATACACCCTTTCACTTAAAAGTTGCAGTTTCTAAAAACCTACCAGTGCGGACTATAATTTAACAGAAAGGGTGGTCCTATTTGTCCTTCCAGGCATCCCTGTCTCTTCTTAGCCACTAAGCGGATTTAAGTAAGGAAGTCACCAAATTCACTGCTGTTCCTAGTCTCTAAGTATCATCTTCTCTCCTCTTCCCAGTGTTACCTGGGAAGAATTTCTGCCATTTCCTTTCCAGATAAGTGTCAATTCATATTGTAAAAAACCTGGTTAGGTTTTTTTGTTTTGCAAAATCTATTTAAAATGTTATCTGTGCTGTTCAAAGGTCTTTATACACACAAATTTCTAGGACTACATATTTTTCTTGTCCTCTTATATATTTATGTCTCAAATAAGTAGTGTCCAGGTATGAAAATAAAGGGAATATTTTTTGTCAGTTTGTAATACTCATGTAGTATTCATTTTTTTATTGCAGAGCTTTTTACTGTTTCCGTAATCAAGATTTTTCTAAGTGATGGTTTCTAATGTAAATATTTTTGTATATACTTTTGTATATAGTGACAAAACTTAATTGTCTTGTTCTTATTTACTGTAGGATACCAAAACCAAAAGTGTTATTTCAGAGACCTGTAATAAAATTGATACTGAAATTGCTTCTTTAAAAACATTGATGGAATCTAACAAACTTGAGACAATTCGTTATCTTGCAGGTAAGGCTGTATCTGTCAGAACAGAATTTTTAGACATGTTAACTTCTGCCTCCCAACATAACCACAGCCAGCACAGAAGGGGAAATGGAACAGATTTCTTATATTGGCGGGTCCCCTGCAGTGTTTGTAGATGTAAGTTTTAACAGGCAATGTGTTTGGGATGTAAGGTTAACAAGAAATTCTTCAGCTTCTTAGTAGGAAAAATATGAATATTAAAAAATGCAAAAACAGTATTTTAAAACAATGCAAAGATATAATAGATAATCTACAATGAAAAGAAAATTTTACATTGCTGCTCTCTGTCAGAGGAGTTGAGTGGACTTAATGGAGAAAGATTACTAAAATAGATATATGACATTAATAACCATAGCAAGCAAAAGAGAAGGTATTACCTCCTACCTTGAATCCCACTGCCTCAACAGCTACCATCCAAAATTAGGTTGTCACACTGAGGTGACTCAGTTACCCAAGGAGTTAGGAAGAATGCCATAGTTGAGTGCTACTTTTCCTTTTTCTCATTTTTTATAAGTAACAAACTTTCAGTATAAGTTGTTCTATAGTTCAAAAGCAATATAGTAAGTGAAAACTCTCTAGTCCCTCCCCATATGTATTCACTGTTAGTTGCATATATCTTTTTGGGCTTTTTCCTTTGTACATAAACATTTCAGATTTTCAAATAGTAACTAATTTTTTTTAAGTCAGTGAAGGTTTATTCTATGGTAGTTTTCTACCATCCTGCCCTGCCTACTGCTCCCTTCAGCAGTATATTTCAGTCAGTCTGCCTGTTCTGTTCCCCACTCTGTCTCTGGAGGGTCCTGTCACCCCCCTGCACATCTAGCACCCAGTTCTATATGTATAATACATAAGTCTTTAAAAAGTAAAATGCTTATTTATACCATCACTGGTGTTCTGGGGTAGCCACTAAATAATGTTGCGGTGGTAGTGAGCGTGAAGTGGGGCCACCAGCCCTCGCGGGACGCATATCTCCTTTCTCTGGCTTGGATGCCTTGGCGCCTTGTTAAAATTTGGACTTTGGGCCCTCCCTGGTGGGCCCTCCCTGGTGATGCAGCCGGTTAAAGCACAGCACAAAGAAGCTTAAGCCACTTCCGCATGAGTTCGATCCCCGCCTGCCCCGGAGGTGACCACATGGCGCGGCAGACCTCTCCTGGCCCGCCCGCTGCTCCCCTCAGCAGTGTACTTTGTTGATCTGCCTGTTCTGCTCCCCACTCTGTCTCTGGTGAAACCTCTCACCCTCCGCATCTCTGGCCTGTACCCCAGTTCTGTACGAATAAATAAATCTTTTAAAAAAAAATTTTTTTTTTAAATAAAAAAAAATTTTGGACTTTGACTAAAGGTTCATTAAAGAAAGGGCTCTAAGACTAAAACAGGTTTTGAAACCTCTCTCCTAGCAAAGTCTGGAATCAGAGATCCTTGGTTCAATGCTAGTTTTCAGGGGAAATTTTGAAACAGCACAGTTTCGAATGTTTGTCCCAGCTTTCAAATTGGATGGCAGTTCAGCCCAGCTTAGGAGTAGCTTCAAATTCCATTCAGCCTATTTTCAAGTATTTATCTAAAGAGCTAATATTTTAGTTAAAAATGCAGTCCTTTTCACCCTCGGTTTGAAAATGGTGATGGTTTCAAGAAAGTGTCATATAGTCGTGTGTATGTATGTGTATACGCACACACATATATAACTAGTTCTAATAGACTAGTTAGAGGCTGTGGCAAAGGAAATTAGCAACATCTTGTTTGGAAAAATACCTTTCTACATTGTTTTTCCCTTCTTTTTTGCAATGAATGGTTCTATAGGATTTTTTTCTCTCTTTCCTTACCTTCTCCAAACCTTTGGTATGCTGCATGAAATCAGTAACTGGGTCATGTGGTACTATTATTTTTAAAATTTATTTATTTATGCATACAAGAACTGGGGTACAGGCCAGATGTGCAGGGAGGTGGGAGGATTCACCAGAGACAGAGTGGGGAACAGAACAGACAGATTGACTGAAACACACTGCTGAAGGGAGCAGTGGGCAGGACAGGAGAAGTCTGCTGGACCATGTGGGTCACCTCCCTGGCCAGGTATCGAACTTGTATTGCAGTCGCTGTGGATCACTTTGACCCCTTGTGCCACTAGGGAGGCCCAGTACTACTTTCAATTCTTTGAAAAATGTCCTTAATGTTTCTATGGAGGCTACATCAGTTTATAATCCCAAAAATAATGTACAAGGGTTCAGTTTCCTGTACATGTTCACCAACACTTCTTGTTTCTAGTCTTTTTGTATGAGTTCTGTTTTCCATATTAACCTTCTTTCAGATATATTATCTAGAAATATCTTCTACCAGTCAATCTTTTCATTTTTATAGTGGTTTCTTTCACTGTAAAGAAACATTTCAGTTCAGTGTAGTCCCATTTGTTTTTTACTTCTGTTTCCCTTGCCATTGGACTTGAGATCCCAAAGAAAGTATCACCTGTAATTTCTGTATTTTATATTTTCAGGTCTCTAAATATTTATTCCATTTTTATTTAAATTTTGTGTATGGTATGAGATAGAAATCTGGTTTAATTGTTTTGAATGTAGCCATCCAGTTTTCCCAGCACCATTTACTAAAGAGACTTTCCTTTCTCCATTGCTTGTTACTGGCTTCTTTGATGTAAAACAATTGTCCATATATGTCAGTTTACTTTTGGGCTGTTGTTCTGTTCCGTAAATTTCTGTCCTTTTTTTATTCTAACCTTAATGTTCTCATTACTATTGCTTTATAGCATAGTTTGAAGCTGGGGAAACAGCTACTTTTCTTTTTTCTCAGAATTGCTTTGGCTGTTAGGGGTCTTTTAAGGTTCCTTACAAATTTTAGTATTTTTTTTATTTCCTTGAATAATGCCATTTGAATTTTGATAGGCATTGCTTTAAGTCTTTGTATTACCTCCAGTAAAATACTAATTTTGGCAATATTCTTTTAATTATGAACAAGAAATGTCTATTTCCTTGTCATTTTTAATAATAGCTTATAATTTTCAGTGCAAATAAATGCCTTTCACCTCATTAAATTTATTCACAGTATTTTACCTTTTTCAATACAATTATGAATGAGGTTGTTTTCTTAAGTTTTCTTACCTCTAGTTCATTGTTGCATATGAAAGCAGATGCTACAACCACAGTTGTGTATTGATTTTATATCCTGCCACTTTATTGTATTCATTTATTATTTCTAGTAGCCTTCTAGTGTCATTTTCAGGGGTTTTTGTACATATATGTCATCTACAAAGAGTGATCTATTTTTTTTTCTTTTAATTTATGTTTAGGTAGCAGTTTTCATTGTTGTTTGTATTTTGCAAATATAAGCTCCCCCCATTTCCAAAGTAGCCAAAATTCACCACCATAGTCCATTGTGCTCCTTGCCTACATTTTGCTCAGCCTACTCCCCTTGAATTAGTCTCTGTTCTATAGTCTTCCTTCAAAATATAGTTTTGACCTTTTGTTTGGTTTCTCGATATTCCACATATAAGTGACACCATCCTGTTACTTCTCTTATTCCTGACTTATTTTGAATATAATCCTTTATAGCTCCAACCACATTGTTGCAAATGACATGAGTTTATTGTTGTTTTTTTGATTGCTGAGTAGTATTCCATTGTTTATATGTATATACCACATCTTCCTGATCCACTCATATGTTACAGGGCACATACGTTGATTACATAATTTGGTTATTGTAAATAATGCTGCAAATAACATGAGAGCATAAGTTTCACTAGCAGTTAGTAGCTGGTAGGAACACAGTGAAAAAGGTAAGATAAAGATACAGAACATTCAGGAAGCAATAAATAAAATGGCAGTAGTAAGTCCTATGTCAGAAATCACCCTAAATGTAAATGACTTGAATTTACAATCAAAAAGCACAGAGTGGTTGCTGCATGGATTAAGAGCATAACCCAACTATTAATGCTGCCTTTTATAGGCTCACTTAAACTCCAGAGAGAAACAATCTGTACTTCTCAAAATCTTACAGAAAATTTAAAGGGGAATGAATGTCCCCTAATTTGTTTCATGAGGCAAACATTAGTTTGATACCAAAACCAGAAAAGGCTAACAGGGTAAGAAAAATATATAGGACAATATCTGATGAGCATAGATAGGAAACTACTCAACAGAGTATTAGCCAATCACACCAATACATCAAAAGGACCATGTACCATGGTCAAGTGGGATTTACCATCCAGGGATGCAAAAAGATCTCAACATCTGCAAATCTATCATTGTGATATACCACATTAACAAAATGGTAATGATAGTGATCTTTTCAATAGTTGAAGAAAAAGCAATTTGACAAGATTGATTTTTAAGTCTCAATAAAATAGGAAGAGAAGGCATAGACCTCAATATAATACGGCCTTTGAATAATTCAACAGCTAACATCATTCTCAGTGGTTAGAAACTAAAAACCTTTCCTCTGAAATCAGGAACAAAATAAGCGTGCCCACTCTAAGCACTTTTATTCAATGTAGTATTACAAGTATCAGCCAGAACAATTAAGGAGGAAAAGAAAGTGCATCCAGATTAGAAAGGAAGAGACGCCATACAAAATCTACTAAGAACAATAAGTGAATACAGTAAGGTTATAGGGTACAAAGCCAAACACAAAAATAAATTTCATTTCCATCCACTGAACAAACTGTCAGGGAAATTAATAAAACAGTCCCATTTATAATCACATCAAAAAGAATAAAGTACCTACAAAGTGAAAGAGACCAGTACACTGAAAACTGTAGGACATTGTTTAAAGGAATTGAAGATACAAAAAATGGAAAAATACCCATGTGCATAAATTGAAAAAAATAACATTGATAAAAATTAATGTGCAATAATTTGTGAAAAAAATTAATGTACAAGTCAGTGCAATTCATACCAAAATTTTAGTGGTATTTTTAACAAAAATAGGGAAAAAATAGTGAAATTTACAAGAAACCATAAAAGACTCTAAAAGAGCCAAAACAATCCTGACTAAAGAAAAACTTGAGGTATCACATTCCCAGACTTCCAACTATATTGTGAAATGACAGCATGGAATTAGAATCAAAGCAAGCAGTCAGTGAAACAGAATTTAGAACCCAGGAATAAGCCCACATACATATAGACAAATAATTACAACAAAGAGCCAGGAACATAATCAATGGAGGTGGGAAAGCTGTACATGCCAAAGAATGAAGCTAATCATTATTTTATACATAACACACAAAATTATTCAAAATGGATTAAAGATTTCAATATAAGGTCCTCCTTGGTGGCACAGAAAGTTAAAAGCACAGCACTTAAGAAGCTGTCCACAGCAACTGCAGCGTGAGTTCAATCCCCAGCCAGTGAGCTGACCCACATGGCGTGGCAGACCTCTCCTGTCTCACCCATTACTCCCCTCAGCAGTGGGTTTCAGTTAATCTGCCTGTTCTGCTCCCCATTCTGCTTATGATGAGTCCTCTAACCACCACCCACCCACCTACTCCCACCCCACTGCCTCAGTTTTTGTATGCATAAGTAAGTCTTTTTTAAAAAACAGACTGGAATATAGAACCAAAACAAAATGCATAAAAGAAAACAAAGGCAGTAAGTTCATTGATATCAGTTGCTTTCATGACTTTGACTCCAACAGCAAGGGAAACCAAATCAGAAATAAAAGCAATTACATCAACTAAAAAGCTTTCGCACAGTGGAAGAAGCTCATCAAAATAAAGACATTTCAACTGAATCAGAAAATACTTGCATATCAGGTGTCTGACAAGGGGTTAATATAAAAAGTATATAAAGAACTCATAATTCTTAACAACAAAAAAAGTGAACTGTGTCTGAATAGGTACTTCTCCAAAAAAAGAGTTACAAACAAGAACTCTTCTACACTGCTGGTTGGGAATGCAAACTGGTGCAACCACTAGGAAAACTGTGAGGAGGTTTCTCAAAATTGCTAAAAATGGAGCTTCCATATGACCCAGCAATCCCACTCCTAGGTATCTACCCAAAGGAAACAAAAGCAATAATTCAAAAGGACACCTGCATCCCTGTTTATTGCTGCCCTGTTTACAATAGGGAAGATGTGGAATCAACCCAAATGCCCAAAAATAGATGATTGGACCAAGACAATGTGGTGTATGTGCACAGTGGAATATTACTCAGCAATCAAAAAATAAACTCATGCCATTTATGGCAACATGGATGGAACTGGAAGAGATCATGCTTAGTGAAATAAGCCAGGAAAAAAAAAAAATATATATATATATATATATATATAGTAAAGTAAAAAAAAAAAAAACCAGCTAATAATTATAAACCAGAGACATTCTACAGGGGAGGAGAGGGAACAAGATCATAATTAGTGTGAGACGAGCACATGAGTGAAGTAGTGGGAAACTCCATGGGGATTGCAACTGAGATGAAAAGATGTACAAAATGAATAATAATGTAAAATAAATAAATGTATATATATATATATATATAAAATACAAAGTATCTCAATATAACTAAAAAAAAAAGACAGTCAAAAGCAGATGAAAAGACATTTGCAGATGGGTTTTGAGGGCATTATGCTAAGTGATGTCAGAAGGACTTGTGCAAATTTTTTTAAAAACCTGACAAATGATAAACTCTGATGCAGAGAACAGGTTGATTACGAGGGGGAAAGAGGAAATAGGTAAAGAGAAAACTATAATGACAAAAACGAGTCTTGATGGTGAGCATGCTGTAACATTTAAAGATGCTGAATTCCTTTATTGTATACTTGAAACTTATGTACTAATGTTACCTCAATTAAAAAAGTACCCCTATGAATAAGTTTTTCACTTATTACAAGATCTGAAATTAAAGATTTATTATATAGTCTTTGTTAATAATGGTAATGTTAATGACTTAAAACACTGTGGTTCTAAATAACATAATCTACATTTTAAAAGTATTGCTGTCCCTATTTGTCTTCTAGGATGCTTTTAGGAGTTGGTATTAATCCTGTCTTAAAGGATATTCTGTGTTCTTATGCTTAATTTTCTTGGGAATGTAAAACCTAAGGTAGAAATTAATTGGCTTTCCTTTCTTTTTGCTCTTTAAGTTAAAGATGACATTCACCTTTGCAAAATAATCACAAATGCCCATCTTTTCTTTTCACAGCCTCTGTGTTTACCTGCCTGGCAATAGCATTGGGGTTTTATAGAGTCTGGAAATAGCAGTGAAACTCCCACATTAAACTCCTGCTGTTGCCACTGTTGACTTCTTAGAACACTACGCCAGGAAAGGTTTACTTTTTTGAACAACTGAAAGTTGAAGCAGAATCTTATTCAAAGTACATATGGGCTACCAAGGAATGTTCAAGAATGGGAAGGTGTATTTTGTCTTTGTTTTGTATTTGTATCTTTATTATGTTGAAAACTGCCAGATCAAACCCTGAATAACTTGAGAAGAAAGGACTTTTGACATATTCTTTTGATGGGTCTAAGAAGCCAGCTAGATTCTTATGTTTGCTTGAACCGTGTAAATCCTAGGAATTTACTTGGTATCCTTTGCAAATTTGAAACTATTCTCAAGCCAACATACTTTACTGTATTGAACTTTGCTGGTAACTATTATCTTTTCATATAAAATAAAATGCTAATATAACAAAGTTTGTTTGGATTTTAAATGTTACTTCTTGTATGTCAGATTTTTTGGTAGTAAAATGTTTTAAAATAATGTATAAACTAGTATAAGTGTATGGTACTAGATATGAAATCTATGTATCACTAAATCTTGAGTTCTTACTATATGTATTTTTTTAGTTTTCTGATTAACAAAACCCAATTTTATTTTTACTTCTCATGAAGAAATCTTAAGTCATATTGCTTACATAAAACAAAGATTTTATTTAAAAAGAATCATTTAAATTCAGCAAATATCTGTTATTATATAATCTCTATTCCCCTGAAATTTATGGGGAATTTCATGTTTTTACCTTGTTGTGATTGGGCCTGCTATTAATAGTGTATGTGTAGTTTAAAGAGAAGTACAAAACACCATTTTCATCTTAGGTCTTTTAGTTTTACCCAGAAAAAGAACCAGGGTTAGTAAGTGCTAAATATTTCAAAAGATTCCATAATGCTTTGACAATAACTTTGAAGATTTCCTAATTCAGTATTCAACATAACCTCATCGTTTGTTGATTTATGAGTAGGGGAACTGAGGTACAGAGCAGTGAAGACATTAATCTACATGGTTCAGTGAGTGAGCATCAGAAGCTTTCCAACTAAATTTTCTTCAAAGATCACACCTTGTAGATAACATTTTTGCTGATTTTACAACTAAGGACCATATAGGTCCCATTGACACAAAACCACGCATCTGTTCACTCAGTGGTAACAGCCTGCTGCGTGCTGCCCAGACGACATGCAGGTCCCCCTGCGCACAGAGGAGAACATGGTTTCATTCTTCTGGAACTGATGATTTTAGTGTAGACAGACAATAAACAATAATTGGTTTGTTATAAGTTATGCCACTATATTGAGGGAAAATTCTTTCCTCCATATGAAGGAAGCTTCATAGCATATTTTTGTTACCACTCTTCTTCCTCTCACCCACCGAGCCCACGGTAAAGTGAAAGGAGTAAAAGCCCCAGGAAGCCTGGCCACCACTGTCCCCACTGGTGTGGGACCAAACTGTCCAGAGAACGTGAAGTTTTGTGGGTGGGGATCAACCTCAGCCTCTGCAGGATAAGCCTGCCCCAGAACAGGTGCTTTAGGATGGGTGAGTCGGTCCAACTCGGAGGACAGTGATAAGCTAAACTGAAAATTATTAACTATATTCTCCAATATCAGCCTTGTTAATAAATAAAGGTATTATTTAGGTCATTTGTTCTTCATCTCAGGTTCATAACCCAGATGAAGGGGTGCCCCTTACTGGATCTTCAGACCTCAGTGTGGCTGTATTCTCTCAGTCATAGTTGTGGACAATAAAACAGGTTTTATTCTTTCAGAGACTTAGCATGTGAAGTGCTTCCAATTATGGAATAGAAATCTTATACACACCTTATCCTAGTCCCATTACTTACAGAACCTATATTTTTTCCTTAGAGATTTCATTTTGGTGGTAATCAGACAAATCAGACAGATTTTTGGTTTTTTTGGAAAAAAAAAAGTGAGAGGACTGTTCCCATGTGCCTCGAAACTACGTCATGTCTAGCACCTGCGTCACTCTGTAAAGTAGCTTTCATTGTTTATATCTGTTTATATATTAAATTGAATTCCCAAGATGGCGCTAGGACTCTATACAAAGGTATTTGGTAAGTGTGTCCAAAATAAATGCTATAAATACACCCAATTAACCTTAATCCAAACTTGTAAATATTGTATTATGATTATGCTGAAGACATTTCATTTTTACTGCTTTCCTAGAACACTAAACTTTTGGGGGGTATTTTTCTGCGAGTAGTAAGAAACCTCTTGAGTATTAGCTACTGTTCTTGTTTATGGCCTCAGATCCTAGTTTATTCATGCACACTACTTAATAATGTGATAAAATAGTTGAAGCAAGTTTATATAAAGAATAGTTGACAGGAAAACCTTTAACCATTTTGAAAAACAAACATAATGCCCATTTTGTTACTCTTTCAACAATTTAGTTATGTTACTGTGTAAGTTTTAAATTTTTTTAAAGATTTATGTTTATAGAACGGGTGTACAGGCCAGAGGTGTGGTGGGTGAGAGGATTCACCAGAGACAGAGTGGGGAGCAGAACAGGCAGACTGACTGAAATACACAGCTGAGGGAGCAGCAGGTGTGTCAGGAGAGGTCTGCTTGGCCATATGGGTCATCTCCCTGGCAGGGTGTCAAATGGCATGCTGCAGTGGCTTCAGAGAGCTTCATAATGCAGTGCTTTAACCCGTTGCACCGCCAGGGAGAGCCCTAAATATTTTTTTAATACAAAGAAAAAAAGGTTATGCTGAAATTAGTGATAGTCATTTTGTAGAATAGCGACTGTGATTGACTAGAAACAACAGCTAAATAGTAAGTATGAACTCACTATTTCTCACACCAATCCTCTTAGGTAGGTAGTATAAACACTTCACAGATGAAGAAACAAATGAAGTCAAGTAATTTGCCACCACCATACATCTGGAAAGTCACAGACTTCAATTCTAAATCTTATGCACTTAATACCCTACTGAATCCTCTACCTCAAGAGATGGAAAATCTTCTGACGCTTGAAAGCAAAATACCAATTTTAAAAAATAAATTTATGCATACAGAGCGGGGGTGCAGGCGAGAGGTGCAAGAGCGGTGAGAAGATTCATCAGAGACAATGTGGGGAGCAGAACAGGCTGATTGACAGGCTGAGGGGAGCAGTGGGCCAGTCAGGAGAGATCTGCTGCTCCATCTGGGACATCTCGGGGCAGGAGATCGAACTCACACTGAAGCGGCTAAGGCCCCCTTTCAGTACTAAGTCCAAACTGGTTGCACCACCAGGTAGGGCCTAAAAATATCAGAATTTCTATTTGTATCTCCTTTACACCTTTTCGCTTGTTTTTGTATTTCATTACATATTTAACATAATAAATATGTGACCCTTAATCCCCATTTCTGCCACAGAACTCCAAACACCCTTATAATTTTCCAAGTGCTATGGGTGGCTGCTTTTGTTTCCTAGGCATACAGCTTCTAAAACCCTTGGACTCTGGTCCAGAGTGGTAAGAGTTATCTTGTCTGCAAAAGAACAGGGAAGTTAGTCCTTACCTTGAGCAGCCACCAACCCAGTTAAGTCCAAGTACTATGGAAAACAGGTAACTGGTGACCCATTCAGAGAGCTGCCCCGCAGGCTGTGTGCTTCTATTACAACACTCTGCTCGGGTTTGTTTGTTTTTTTTTATTTTCTACTTGAAAATGTTATTCATCTGTGGTTAAAAAAATAAGCAGCTCCTTTAATACCAATCTTTAATGCCTAACTTGCCATCTTTTTAAGGTACTACTAATTTGATAAAGGCTTGAGTGTAAGGTTAATAACTTTAAATTCTAGAAACTAAACATAGTAATTAGAACAATTATTTTCTTTCTTAAAGCAGTAAAGTTAACTCCTTTTCAGAGTGTGAAACAAGCATGAATAACAAATCACTAGACTTGAAATGCTTTGTTAGTGCAATAAATTTGCACTGGATCTAAAAAGTTGTGAGCTGTTTAAAAATGATCTCCATTACACTATGCTTTTAAAGGTATCCTTTTTACATGTGGCAAATATCCATTGTTACAAAGGCACTTCTTGTGTATTGTGTATTCTTCAAAATAAAGTGTGTAAGTTCATGGTCATTTGTTTTCCGGTGTCACTGATATAGAGGGAAACATGGCCTTAAGAAAACTGTAGCAGGACCTCCCTGGTGGTGCAGAGATTAAAGTCTCAGCACTATCAGTTATTCCCAGCCACTGTAGCACGAATTCGATGTGGCCAGGGAACTGACCTACATAGCTTAGCAGACCTCTCCTGTCTTGCCCACTGCTCCCTCGGCAGTGTATTTGAATAGATCTCTTCTGCTTCCTACTCTCAGGTGAATCCTCTCACCTCCCCACACCCACCTCCAGCCTATATGTATGCATAAATAAATCAATCTTAAAAAAAAAAAAAACTGGAACAAGTATAACAAAGTATTTCCAATGCTGAATGCTGGGATTAACTTCAGGACAACTAGGCTAGGAGGTAATAGACCACATGTAGTGTCAGGGGCAAAGCTGGCTGTGGAGATTCCAGGAGAGGTTAAGAAGACAGGCGCTGGGCCTTCCCTGGTGGCGCAGCGGGTTAAAGCACAGTACTAAGAAGCTTAAGCCACTTCCTCATGAGTTCGATTCCCGCCTGCCCCAGAGGAGATCCACATGGTGTGGCAGACCTCTCCTGACCCGCCCGCTGCTCCCCTCAGCAGTATACTTCGTTGATCTGCCTGTTCTGCTCCCCGCTCTGTCTCTGGTGAATCCTCTCACCCTCCGCATCTCTGGCCTGTACCACAGTTCTGTATGAATAAATAAATAAATCTTTAAAAAAAAAAAAAGGCGCTGAATCAGCCCCACTTACAATCATGACAGCACGTATCTCACACATATCTAATCGCCCAACAAAGGTTGACAACAATTATTTCCACTGATGGAAAACTTGCACTAATCACACAAAGGTTATCAAAATGATAGCTAAGCCAATTTTCTTTGCACTTGCTTACAGACCTTTGACTAACATTAACTGTTCCTAGCAGCCAAATACACTCCTGTCAGGACAATCTGCTTTTGGTGATTCTGGGTTAAAGTGGCCTTTGTGATCCATGTGAGGATCCACACCGGGGCCTAGCGGGTGGGCAGTCTGGTAGACAGTGAGACTAGTCACTAGTGAAGCCCAAAGCTAGCAATCAGATTTACAGGTGGCCCAGCATCCAGACATCTGTTCCAATAGAGTTGAAAAAGTTTCCAGCTCAAGTGGAGTTGGGGATGGTGGGTAGGAAATGTAAGGGAATTGAAGTCAGAACCGAACTAAGAAATGACCTAGTTGTTTCTGACCAACAGAGTAGGGGGAAAGGAAAATAATAAAGCAATGTCTCCTTTATTCTGGCCCCCTCTTTCTTCCTTTGTCATAAAGCACAGAAAAGCACCTTAAGGGATTTTTATTTCCTTTTACAAGAGTTTATTTTTCATTCATGCAAAACTTTCCTGAGTAAACTATTTGGCTATTGTTCTTCTCTAAAACTTACAGTTTTAATATTGTACTTATATCCCAAGATCAATGATTTTTAAAATTCACATCATTTGAAAAGTTTTTAAAAATCATATCCTCAATAATAGTAGTAAGTATTATCTAGAAACCATTGTAGATTTTAAATGTCTTGAATAATTTTTATGTAGGACTAGACTTCATTTGACTACCAGATCATCTTCAACATCAAATATTTTAAATTTACATAAATACTTGCAAAATCAATTAATTATCCATGAATCTACTCTTCACTTGCCTATGTAAATATGTAAAAAATTTATTGGGAGATATTAAAATCACAACCAAATCCATGTGATTTTAACAATCCCTTTGTTACTATGTTAACACTTGTCTGTTTTCAGAATTGGAATAACATGAATTCTGAGAAGAGCCTATAAAGATTTATATTTATAACAATTTTTTAAAATAAGAGACAAATCAAGCAAGTTTATTTAAAGTTACTACACTGATTAGGATCTTCTTACAAAAACTCCCCCAGAGGTCACTTTTTTCTTCACTCGGCGTTTCTCTTTGCTTGACTCACAAGAAGAGCCCTCTTCCTGCAAAGGAAAAGAGAGCCAAGTAAGATCTCAAGGCTCGAGGAACATTTTTATCTTTTGTTTTATCTGTTCCACAAGAAAGGAATTAACCACTGAGTTAATTTTCTTTGCAGGTTTTATGTAAATTCTCAAATTTTAAGTAACAATATTGTTTTGAATCATAAACTTGGAGGCACCTTGAGAAATCATCCAGTTCTTTCTCTATCTAATATAACCTCCAAAGAGAACACCTTGTTATTTCTGCATCTATTTTACACTAACAATTCACAACATATTGCTAAGTGAAATATACAGAGGGTTAATAATGTCAGCCTCTGGGTTCTTTATAAGCCCACTGTATTAAGAAACACAATTCTGGCTCCTTCATTCCACCCAGTATTCACACATCTTTCTATGGCTCTTGTCTCATTTGCCCACCAACCACCATTTCTATTTCTCATCCATTGTATTCTCAGGACCTGGCACAGGGAGCTCATGTAATGAAAGCCAAGGAAAGCAGCAAGAAAGGGCTAGAACTAGCCTGAGTGCTCACAAGATATTCATCATCTTGAAGTAATTTTTCCAGCCAAAAATGCTCTGTTGCAATTAGGCAAGACAACCTGAAAGCTGGGCCATGACAACTGCCACAGCCCTTGTCCGCAGCGGCCCATCGCGGGGTGGCACTTCCCACAGCTTTCCTGCCAACAGCTTTGCTAACGAGGTCCGTCAGTTTAGCCCACACAGCTGTGTGTGAATCTGGACGTAAGTTGCCATGATCTCACCACCACCTGGCAAAGTCAGACAACACACCTGATTCCTGCCCATCTCAGCTGCAAATTTAAGGAGATGGAGAATCTGCAGAAGGTAATATATATGGTCTCTTCCTTCAAAAGGCTAGTACGAAGCCCAATAGCAACAAACTTTCATTGAGACTTAGCACCTGGTGCTCCTGTATTTCGTATTTTCCATATATAGCAAGGTGATGTAGAGCATATTACCAACATTTTATAGATGCAGACACAGAAGTCAAAAAAGTTAAACTGCACCATGTTTACAAGCCAAAATGAATGGCAGATTCAAATCTAGATTTTTGTCTTAAAAAAGTTCATGTTCTCATAACCATTCTTCAATCCTATCTTCCAGCAAATACCAAATATGTAACTGGCTTTACTCAATCTTTCAATTCCTATAACTGTACTGTATACTATATATACTATACTGTAGGTATGCAAATAAAAAATAAGACCTGCACCCAGGAATCTGGTGCAGTGGCAGATATAAAGTGCTTGATTCATTCCCCACTTTTCAGAAAGCCCCTAAGAGTATATGGGAATGGATGCAAATATGTCCATGAAAGAAAAACAGTAAGGTAAGGCAATATTTTAACCTCATCCAACTAGATGGAATTAGAGAAAAAGCATGAAAGATGTTGCAAAAGATAGTTTGGCCAGAGATAGACAACTTTCTAGTGCTCAAGAGTTACTAGATCTCCATAAACAGATATATTTCTTTTCCTTTACCTTTCTCATATACAGACTTCTAAAGGTTGTAAGTATTCCAAATAAGTAAAAAAATGATTAAATATTAAAGCCTCTATTAACATAAAAAATGTAACTTGCATCTTACTGTATAGTTCAAAATAAACTATGTGATGGGCACTCAACAGGTCTCTAGTTAAGTTACAAGCTTTCAAATTCCAAAAGTTTCTACATTTGATTACCATTCTTCACTGTTATTCATTTTCTCATCATAAATAACAACCAGAAATATATTTTCTCCTAATATGTGTCTTTTTCTAAATCTGGGAATTAAACTATATTCAGATATTGAATATAAGAATTATGGTGCTTAGGCATACATATATTTTTTAAATATAAACCAGTATTGTTTTGCTGACTTTACAAATTTGTGGAAAAGATTAACAGTACTGCACACATGGATGTGTTGACAGGTTATACATCTCCAAATTATTACTTAGTTAAATAGAATTCTGATTTTTAAAGTCCCATGCCCTATGAAAGGTATATGGAACTAACAAGGAGATCATCACAGCTTCTTGATTCCTAGTACAAACTCTTAACAGTGTCGATACTGTATGGCAAAAGAGAGAGCACAATGTCTAGAACTAGATTAAGAGCTCAGTTTGGATAAACTCATTTAAGCCTCAAGATGCTCCAGGAATCATATAGGCTCATAGATTAAGATGACCAAGGACTGGAGAGGCCAGGAGGACTCTGACTGTAACAAAGTCCAACCCAGCTCCACACCCTTTTCAGTAGAAAACAAGGTTAAGTTAAACCAGGAAGTAACCATGTAACCATGGAATATGAGGCTGACTAGCAAGCGGTGATCAATAATCATGACCCAAATCTTTAGCCCACCAGCTTCCTGAATGATACTGACTATGGGGATGAAGCCATAGAAGTTCAGTGCTGTAGAAGTCGATGAACAAACATCTCTGCCAAAACTACTACAGTTCCTATATAGTATAGAATTTCTAAGGTAAATGCTTTTATTAAAGTACAATATGCATACTGAAGAGAACAAAGAGGGGAAAAGTTGCTGAAGTTTTACCAAGTAAATGCACCCAAAGTGACCACAACTAAGATGAAGAAATTGAATATTACCTGTATCCCACAAGTGTCCATCTTCCTCCCCCCAGGCTCTAATTATCTTGACTTGTTTTTATCTTGACTTACCTATTTTTGCTCTGCATAGAAATACAGCACTCTTTTAGACTATTTTCTTTTGCTAAGATTAGTTTGAGAAATTGACCCATGTGCAGAGCAAAAATTTATAACGTGTAAAACAGAAATTCAAATATCAAAATGCATTTATTTTTACTGTTGATACTTGGGTTATTTATAAATATAAGTGAATAAAAATATTTCTACATTTAATATCAGTAGCATTCTTGTACATGTCTTTGATGCCCATTTGTGTACCCTGAGACATATATTAATTCCACTAGGAATGAGTTTTAGCTAAGTGTATGTTCAGCCTTAATAGATACTGAGATTTTCCAATGTAACATAAGACTTTCCAATAGCTCCACATCCTCATCAACATCTCACAATGTCCATTTTGTCTTGTTTTGTTTTATTTTAGCCACTGTGAACATCTGATTTGTGTTTTAATTTACATGTTTGATAACTAATAATTCTGAGTACATTTTCATGTTTACTAATCAAACATCTTCCCCAAAAAGATTATTTTGTGAAATGCTTCTACAAATCTTGCCCAGGTGATTTTTTATTTGTTTGATTTGTTTTTCACTAAGTTGTATTTGTCATGATTTCTGTAAGTTCTTAACACATTCTGGGTAGAAAGAAAGGGAAGGGAGAGGAAGGAGAAGGAGAAAGGGAAGAGAAGAAAGGGCACTTTTACTTTCTGGCTTGCCTTTTCAATCCATTTAATGTTTTTTGATGAACTGAAGTTTTATTTTAATGAAGTTCAGTCTATCACCTTTTTTATCCTATGGTCAGACAGATATACTGTGTTCCCTTTTGGAAGTTTTATCAACTCAGCTTTAAACTTAGACACAATTTACAATAAATAGTTGAGTTAATAAATATAATTTCAATACAAATAACATCTTAAAAAAACCTAATTGTAAGTTTTATAGATAAAATTTCATAAATAAATTAGTTCTATTAAAGTACTATCATCAAAAGTTTGAAAATCTTTCACAATATATCTTCCTATACGCCCAAGAGTGAGCAGGAAAGACAGGGGTTATAACTGCAGCAGCCAGTAGTGTTAAAATCATGGACATGGGGCCAGGCAGTTAGTTCCAATCATGGCCACCCATGTTAAGAAGCCCTGGGACTTTACACAAATTGTTTTCTGAGATTTACTTTAAAATTATAACTTATTAATAAAATTAGCATACTGCAATGTATTTATAATGTAAATGTACATCATATTTATAAAATGAAGACAATAGCTGTTGAATATAAAGCACCTGGTACTAAACCCAACATAAAAATGCTCAGTAGGGCCCTCCCTGGTGGCCAACGGGATAAAGCACAGCCCTGTGAGGCTAGCAGCAGCTGCTTGGGTAAGAGTTTGATCCCCGCCCTGGAGGTAACCTGCATGGCACAGCAGACCACTCCTGTCTCTCCGTTTCTCCCCTCAGCAGTGTACTTCATCTATCTGCCTGTTCTGCTCCCCACTCTGTCTCTGGTGAAGCCTCTCACTGCCCCTGCAATTCTGGCCTGTACCACAGTTCTGTATGCATAAGTAATAAATAAACCTTAAAAAGAAAAAAGTACTCAGCAACTGTTGCTGATGATGACAAAGACATTCTTACTAAGGTTAGTCAGAGGATCTCATAGAACTTAAAATTTAAAGGATTGTGGGTAAAACAAACGTCCAATTAAGCATTAATACAAATGATGAGGTGTACTCTGAGCAGGTCAAAGGGCTAAGGGAAAGGAGAGATCATGTATGGTCAGCCTGATTGGGAAGGGGTTGATAAACATGGTTCCTATGGGATTCTGAAAAGAAAAGTTGATAAAAAGCTTTCAATATATATGAACAAACTAAACAAAGGCTTGGCATGGGGCAAGTTCAGAAAAGACACGCTACCTACAGAACCACGGAGAAAAGTTTGGTCCAATATGATAATGATAATGATATGATAAGGCAAAGATGAGGTGTGAGAAAGGACTATGAAAATTCATTAAAAATTTTGAGTGCACTATATAAGTCAAACTAGTCTAACAATTTTTGTTTGGATAAACGTATAAAATTTAAAATATTGCTGATTGTTTTTTAATGAGGAAAAAAACTTTTAGGTGTAGTTGCATGCAATTACAGATCCTGACCAGAAGGTGGCACTAGAGAGATTTTTTGGTCAGAGAGGCTTGAAAACGCCACATAAATGCTGACTGAATGTAAAATTAACTTTATTTACCCTTTATATATATTTCCACTGCAAAATAAGCTCTTTGAACTATCAGAAGTTCAACACATTCACTACCTTCTATTTTCACTCAATTACAGAAAACAAAGGATGGAAAAAGGAGAAAATTATAAGGAGTACTATCGGTAAGACTAAACAGAAAATGCCCCAGGATTTCTACACATTTTCTTTACCACCAATACGATCCCATGGGGGTGTTATGAGGAACATAACCCCCCTCCAAATATGAGGAAATGGAGCCTCAGAACTTTTTGTTGAAGAGGTTAACGGTGCCAGGTCACAAAAATTGGTAGTAGGACTTCAAGAGCCAATGTGCATAGAATACAGGGCCCTTGAGCTAGTGCTCCTGAAACCCTGCACACACTTTGTTGGTAGAGAACAAGGCTTTATGGATATGCTGTATGGAATGAAATCAAGCCCAACCTTGAGAACAGATGCTCTGAACAAAGAAAAAGAATAATTTAAATAGCTAAAAACAAGTTTTCTAAGCAATCCATTTGGAATGCCTCAAAAGGTGTGAGGCTTGGGCCTTCTTCACAAGCACCAGACAACTGGAAAAGAAAAGCATATGTCCCTGCCTTGGAAGAGACTGGAGCAGTCAGAAGAGTTCTTGCCACCAGCAAAGGGGGAAGGGATCAGGAGTCAGTGGTAGCTTCTGCATCCCTCTGCTCAGTCTGCGGAGGCCACGGGAGCTCAGCTGGCCAATATGTATCTCTAGGGTTTAAGGAGGTACTAGAAGAATATTTTAAGAATAAGAGAATAGAATAACTTTTATAATTTCATCACTTGGAAAATTAAGTACTAGAAGATACCAAAATCCAGAGAAAGTGTTTGGGTTTGCATATGGATAAAAATACACAAACATTTTTGTAAATGAGTTAGAATGTTGTCTAATATGAGACATACCAAATCATTAAAAGTAGCTTCCTCTGGAGAGAATTTAATGTGGGAAGGAATGTCTGTACTATTTTTGACATTTTATGAAAATTTCATATATTATTTTAATATTTTTACATAGTTTTTAAAGATAATTAATGATTAGTTTGTGGAAATTCCAAAGGAATTGGGAAATTTTTATTACAGGTCAGATTTAAGATGACATAGTTCTGAAACAGAATTAATTTACCCACAGTGACTAAAGAAACATTTTCCTATGGAAGGAAACCAAGAGATGCTGTGACAACTTCCATGCTGGTTCTTTTCCACTTCTAAACATGCTGTTTTACGAAGCTGATGTTTTCTAAAATAGAGTCCATTCAAAGGAATTTATTTTGGTCATTTAGATGCTAAAATATGAATAGTTCACATTTGTCTTAAAACTCTTACTGCTTATTCTGTTTATTAAAAAAATTCTTCTATAACTCAAAAGTAATAAAATAGTAGCAGTGCACTTATAAACAAGAGCACTAACACACATATGTATACCTATACAGTCATGTATGTATAGCAAAATAGTTTTATGTCACTATGTAGTTATAACACTATTCCTTTAAACCTTACACTCTACTGGCCTTACCAGTTTACAACTAAGACAGAGAGGTTAAATAAGTTGAACCAAAAAAGGTTGTTAACCAGGATGCAAACCCAAATAGCACCCCAGTCCACACCTTGTACTCTTATCTACTTTTGTGTACTATTTGAGAAAGATAAGCATGTTAAGAAAGACACCAACCATAGCCACAAAGTTGGGGACCTGAGTTTTTTCCAATGTCTCCCTGAGTTGATCCATTTCTGCTCGATACTCATCCAGCTGACATTCTAATTTTTCTCTACGTAGTCGTTCGTACTCCAGCTGGCCCTGTAGCTCTTTGATCGTTCTGTCAAAAAAATTTTTTTCAATTAATCTCCAATATCAACTAATAATTATAATAATAATGGAAAGAATCCATGCAATTTATAGAAGGCATATTAAACAAATCATGTACTTAACAAATAGGGAGTGAGAAATCTACCTTGAGCCAGGACTGATCTAGCTATGGCAAGGTAGTGAGTAAAATAGGACAAAATTAGCCTTTATAGCACTTACCTTAGCAGTGGAGTAACACTGACAGTACAAAAAATAAGTAAATATATGGTTATGTTACAAGGTGATAAATGCTAAGGGGGGGAAATAAAGTAATATAAAATGTTATTGAGGGCCCTCCTGCTGGTGGCACAGCAGGTTGGAACACTGCATTGCAAATTAAAGCTAAGTCAAGCCAAGCTGTGGCTTCTTCAATGCGAGTTCCATCCCCCACCCGGGAGTTGACCCAATGGGGCAGCAGACGTCTCCTTGCTCTCCCACTGCTCCCCTCATCAGTGTAGTTTGTCGATCTGCCTGTTCTGCCCCCCCCATTCTGTCTCTGGTGAATCCTCTTGCTGCCCCTGCACCTATGGTCTGTACCCTACTTCTGTATGCATAAATAAATAAAATCTTAAAAAAAAAAAGGGGGATTTGTTGAGGGAGGATTAACACTTAAAACATTGTGGCCAAGGTAGCCTTAATGAGAAGAGCTTCTGAGCAAAATCCTAAAGGAAGTGAGAGGGATCACCTAGCAGATATCCGGACAGAGGGAACAGAAGTGCCAAAGCCCTAAGGTAGAAGTATGCTGGTGAGCTGTAAGAAAGACCAACATGGATGGAGTGCTTAAAAACAGAGTAGTAGGTCAGACAGGTAAAATGGAAAGCATAGTGGAAAGTCATAGTAAAGTAAAGAGTTAGGCTTTTTACTCTGCCATGAGTGGGAAGCCACTGGCCTGTGTGAGCAGAAAGATGGCATGACCTGAGTTAAGACTGGAGACAGGAAAGAAGAATGCCCACTCTGGAAGCATAGCATTCAACAACTAAGAAAGGAAAACCATTCCCTAGAGAATAACACAACCATGTCTTGTACAGTGGATATGACCTAAATTAATGGCCAATAACAAAAGCTAATGGCTGTCCCTCAAATAGTTATCCAGGATTTCTTTACAATAAGAACCAAGGTTAGGAGAGGCAATCAACACACACGGAGAACAAATGCTAAAGAATATTATTCAGAAAAAACACCACAGTCTTAACTGATTTGACACTATATTCTGGCACAAAAATTAAAGCAATCATTTTAAAAATATGTCAGAATCACTTATTTCAATAGTATAGCCACTGAACAATGAAATGCAAACAGCAGAGTTTCAATAAAGGCTACAAAAATCATGATCATCTTAGATGAACAGGTTTGGAGGTCATACAAATTTGGGCTCAAATCTTGGCTTCCAACCTTTGTTACTCTTTTTGTGACTTTATTCATGTTATTTAACCTCCTTTAAGCTGTAAAGACTGTGTGGATAAGTATGAAAGAGGCTTATTCTTTTTTTTAATATTTATTCATTTATGCATACAGAACTGGGGTACAGGCCAGAGATACAGGGGTGGTAGGAGGATTCACTAGAGATGAGAGTGGCGAGCAGAACAGCCAGATTGACCAAGTACACTGCTGAGGGAAGCAGCAGCAAAGACAGGAGAGGTCTGCTGTGCCATGTGGATCACCTCCGGGGCAGGGATCAAGCTCATACTGAAGTGGCTGCTGCTAGCTTGCAGTGCTGTGCCTTAGCCTGTTGCACCACCAGGGAGGGCCCAAGAGGCTTATTCTTAGTGCCTGATATATAATAGTTCTCAGAAGTAATATAAGCAGCAGAAGCAGTATTCTGATAATCTGCCTTAGAAGGAGAGAAAAAAATAATAAAGCATTATCTTAAAACTCAGTTAGGAAATAAGTGTTTCACTGAGAGGTGTTCCATTTTTCTAGACTACAAATGGCTTTATGTACTTTCAGCTAGGCTCTTACATAAAGGCCAATTACTAACAATATTCATACTCTCCAAACACTTTAAGCAGCATAGAGGAAATAAGTAGCTATTCATAGGATGTCATCTCCCAATCTAATATATGTATTTGGTCTGCCATAGCTTCCTTGTGTTACTAAAAAAAATAAATACCTCCAATAGAGAGTATTTCAGCTTAAGACTTTGTTTTGTTTTCAAATTCCTAAGTATCCACAGAGGGTAACACATGTACCCTAACCAAAGATTTAGATGTTGCTCTGAGTACCAGATCTCTCACTGAGTTGGATTCTAAACCAGAAGCAGAAGCAGACAACAGTTTTTGAAAGTGTGGAAGGAGAGAGACCCTACCAAGGAAGATGGGGAGAGGGGAGTACGAGAAAGAAACCATGGGCGCTGCCCTTTACAGACCCTCTCTTCCTTTCTCTCCGCAAAGGAGGAAGTAGACTCTGATCATCCTCATTCTAGCTGGAATTAATTAATTAGCAAGGAATCAAGTGTGTGCAGAGAGCCAAGTTAGCATGCAGGATGTGAAAGGTGAGGGTGCTGTACAGCTGGTCCCCACACCAGAACACACTCTGATGGGGGTCCTGCAGTCAGTGCCCAGCAGCCTCGGTCTCAGATTCATGAGTAAGTAGTCCAGTTGATAGCAACAGTTAAAGACTGTGTTGACTGAAAAACTCAAAACAGCTGGAGCCTCAAAAAAAAAAAATCTTGAATCTTTACAGAGGTTCAGTTTTGCAAGATAAAGGTTTTAGATAGTGGTTGTATAAAGATGTGAATATCATAACACTGCACACTGCACACTGAAAAGTGGTTAAAATTACACTATGAAAAATGGTTAAGATGGTAAGTTTTATATTAGGTATATTCCCCCCCACCAAAAATATTCTCAATTATCTCTACTTTAAGACTTCTTTCAGGAACTTAGACAGGAACTTAGAATCCCTGGTGGTGATGAAAGAACAAGTTGCTGAACAACAAACCCCCCACATGCCATTTAAAGGTAACAAAACCACAAAATCATTAAAGTTTTGAAGATATTACTTCTCAGACTCAAGCTGTTCTTTCCTCTGCTTTAGATCTTCTTCTGTTATCCCTCCCAAGTGTTTATAGTTGCTCTCAGCAATTTCCAGGTGTTGTTTCAATTCTACAATTTTCTTATAAGCTCTCACTGCAAGACAGTTGAATAGGAACATAGTTCAGACAGATAACAGTTCATGTGCTCAGCAGGTTGGTCTGGAGTATATTCTACCCCCAAGGGCAATGTTTAGGTGGCTTAGGGAGGGAACAACCAGGAGGGTGGCATATACTCAGAAAGACAAGTCAGTAACAGAATTCTGGGTGAATAAGCAATAAAATATCTAAGTGTAGGAATCATCCTTGCTTTTGGAGTATGTACCGATAGTTATGAATAGCAATATAATGAAAAAGAAGGTTTAAAGAAGACAAATAGTGTTTTAGAATTAATAACATGCATCATCTGCTGTATATCAGAAAATTAATAAAACTAAAATGTGCTTGGATTATTTAAAATAAACCATAAATAATCCAATCTCCATATTTTGGAATTAGGCATTTGCAATATCCATGCAAGAGATACTGAGAAAAGGAAGTACACTAAGAGTTGCTTTTAGCTAATCTCCAGCCATCTAAAGTGGAAATTTTCCCATCCTTTTGTGGCAGTGGTTCTCAGCCTGGGGTGATTTTTCCCACCAAAGGACATCTGTCAACACCTGGAGACATTTTTGTTTGTCACAACTGGGGAGGCAGGAAAGCAAGCTACTGGCATCTAGGGGGTGGAGGCCCAGGAGGTTACTACACTTACTACAATGCACAGGAGAGCCCCCCTCAACACATAATTTTCTGGCCCCAAATTTCAACAGTGCAAAATTGAGACACCATTTTATAGAATCATTTTAGCAAATCACAAATTCTTCTCCCTAATACTTTGCAGTCAAATTTATCTCTAGTTGTTTATAGCTACAAGCTGCAAATTGCACACATCAAAATCAATAGGGGTGCTTTTTTGAATTCTATACATTTCATCTCTCTCCCAATCCTACCAATTCACACATCAGTACTTAGTAAAAGCTCCTCAAACAATTCTCCAGGGGAGCACCATGATGGCTAAAAAGAAATGAGTACATTAAGGCAGAAATTTAAAAATCCCTGGCCAAGGAGCTAACCCACATATGGCATAGCAAACCTCTTCTGTCTCTCCCACTGCTCCCCACTCTGTCTGATGAATCCTCTCACTCCCCATACCTGTGGTGTACACCCCAGTTCTTGTATGTATAAATATAAATAAATATTTAAATAAATAAATTAAAATACTTGGTGACAAATGAAAATGAAGATACAAGTCATGAGAACACCTGGGATGCAGAAACAACAATACTAAGAGGAAAGTTAATTGTTAATAAAGAAGTTATTTGTTCTTAAAGTTAATTGTTCAACAAGTTAATTGTTCTTAAAGTTAACACATTAAAAAATAAGAAAAATATAAAACAATTTAACCTAATATACAAGGTAACTGGAAAAAGAACAAAGATAAAAGTTGGCAGAAGGAAGGAAGTAATAAAAATTATAGTGGAAATAAGTGAAATAGAAGCAAAAAAGATACTACAAATGATCAGCAAAACCAAGAGTTGGTGCTTCAAAACATATATATGACCAATCCTACATTAACAAAGAACAAAAATCAATTGTACCAATTGTACCAATAGATGCAGAGAAAACAGTGTAAGATACAGAACTGACTGATGATAAAAGTGCTAAACAAAATGTGTATAGAAGAAACATACCTTATCATAATAACACCATCTATTATAAACCTATACTATTGAATATCATATTCAATGATGACAAGCTGTAAACTTTTCCTTTAAGATCAGTAACAGGGAAGAATGTCTTATTTTCACCTCTTTAGGTTAGTATTAGAGTCTTAGAATATTAAAACAAGAAATAAAAGGATCCCAGTTGGAAAATAAGTAAAATTACTATAAGTAAATACGGTAAAAGGCATGTTACAAAATTAATACACAAAAACCTGCTGCATTTCTATATGCAAACAAAAAAGTGAGAAGAAAAAAAAATCAAGAAAATTCTCCCATTAATAGTTATATCAATAGAATTAAAAACCTAAGGTCAAATTTAACAAAGGAGATAGATATCTCATGTTCATGGATAAGAAGAATTAACATAGTCAAAAAGACTATATAATCCCTATCAAAATTCCAATGATATTTTTCAAGGAAATATAAAATACTAAAATTTTATATGGAAACACAAAAGACCCCAAACAGCTGTAGTAATCTAAGAAAAAAGAAGACATCTGTTACCAATTTTTAACTATAGCATAAAACAAAACCAGCATGGTTTTGGAATAACAGGTTAGAGGATCAATGAAATAGAATTGAGAGCCCAGAAAAATCCTTTTACAGATATATAAATGCACATACACACACACACATTTATAATTTATAATTTATGACAAAAGAGAAAGGAAAATCTATACAACAATTATTTGTAAAACTAGACAGCCATGTGTAAAAAAATGGAGTAAAGATTTGTATGTAGTGGAATCAACCCAAATGCCCAAAAGTAGATGACTGGATTTAAAAGACGTGGTACATATACATAATGGAATATTACTCGGCAATCAAAAAAGACAAACTTATGCCTTTTGCAGCCACATGGATGGAGCTGGAAGGGATCATGCTTAATGAAATAAGTCAAAAGGAAAAAGAAAAATACTGGATGGTTTCACTAATAGCAGGAATGTAAGGGGTCAGGGGGAGAATAAGGCAACTGTAATAAAGAAAAAAACAAAAAACAATGAACAACTATATACCAGAGACTTTTTACAGGGATGGAGTGGGGAATGGGATCAAATATGGGGTGGGAAAGGTGCACAGGACTATGGTGATGGCACACAGGTGAATTGGTGGTGGGCAGTCCATGGGAATTACAACCAAGATGGAAAATGGCACAAAATGAAGAATGTAAAAATAAATTTTTAAAAAATTGTATGTAGGACCTGAACAATAGAAAACATAGAAGAAAACATAGGCATGTCATCGATGATAGAGACATTTTGGGGGACTAGACCCCAATAGCAAGGGAAATAAAAGCAAAAATAAACAACTATAACTACATCAAATTAAAAAGATTTTGCACAGTGAAAGAAAACATCAGCAAAAACTACACAATGAGATATCATCTCACACCTATGGGAATGATTTACATCAAAAGACCTCTAACAAATGTTGGTGAGGATATAAAGAGAAAGGAACCCTGGTACACGGTTGGTGGGAATGTAAATTGGTGCAGTCATTTTGAAAAATAACCTGGATCTTCCTCAAAAAACTAAGATAAAGCTAAAACTATCACATGATCCAGCAATCCCACTTTGGGATAACCATCTAAATGTTAAATCATCAACTCAAGAGTTATATGCACCACAATATTTACTCAGTTTTATTTACAATAGGTATACATTTGCATCAAAGTACTCACCTATCCCTTTGAGAGACAGAACACTCCCAGTTTTACTCATTAATGTGGAGTACTTTACTATTTAACCATTTGTTAAATGGTTCATCTTTGAGGAGATACATCCATTTAGTTTTATAGTGTATTTGAAGATGGGACCTTTGAAAGTGATTGGGGTGACTATGAGGTTATGAGAATGAGGCCTTAGTTTGGCGAGATTAGTACCCTTAGAAAAGACACCACTTCACTTTCTATACAGCCAAAAGGTGACTGTCCTTAAGTCAGAAAGAGAGTTCTTAGCAGAAACAGACTACTAGACTTAGATCTGGAACTTTCAGCCTCCAAATTTGTGAGAAATTAAATTTCTGTTTTTAAGCCACCCCAGGCAATATTTTATTATAGCAGCTTAGGTACACTAAGACATCATTTAATGAAATAAGACTGCCCTTCAATCAGTAATTATGAAAATTAAATCTTTGGCTTATGTCTCCAAAATGCAATTAGTATAAAAGAAAACACGTGCAAAATTAGAAAACTATTTCAGGAAATCACATTAACAAATAAGGTAGGTTATTAATCTTGATATTGAGGGAATCAAAGAAAGGATGCTAAAGACCCTCACAGCTTTAAAAAATAAAAAAAGCAGGTCAGTTTAGGAAAGAAGTAAATATGGAGAAATTATTTTTCTGTTCATCAATGTAACTTCTTGCACCTAAGGCAATGTTTTGCACATAACAGGTACTCAATAAATATATACTGAATACTGGGAAGAGAAAGAACTGACAAAGCATTATTTCAGTCATTTCTCTAATACTATGCTGAGCAGATTCAGAATGATTCCTGAATTCCAGAAAGCAGGACTGTTTCTATGTACTGTTAAGGACACTAGCAGAAGGCTACACAAATAATATATATCCCTAGACAATTTTGCCTATATAAATAGCTACCACGCTCCAAGGAAAAGTCCAAATTCCACTTCTGAAATGTCTTCCTGCTACTCTATACTAAACAAATAGTTCTTTTAAACTACTTACCTAGTAGGCAGGCCAAGAATCTAAGAGTCATCCTTGATTACTCCTTACATGTCATCTAAGACTATCAGCAAATACTATCAATTCTACCCTCTAACTATATCCAAATCATTTCTCATCCTCTATAAACATCTCTCTTCTAGTCCAAGCCATTATCAAAATATCTCTTTCATTTTCCCATGATCCCACTTAAATATCTTTCCTCTTCTAAAACTGCAAAGGATAAATATCATGTCTTTGATTCATTCTCCTTATGTTCAATAACTCCTAGGTATGAACATTTGTATTATTTATTTGTATAATGAACATTATTTATATTATTTTGTTTCCCAAAATGGTAAGTAGCTACCATTTACTTAGTAGAAAGCAAATATCTTTAGAATAATTTCCAGATTCGTGGGGAAAAAGTTATGACATTTATTAAAGGACAAATTACAACAGAGGTGTACACTTACTTCTTGCATCTGTTTTATCTGATTCACTGAGACATAAATCATCCTTCACATCAGTGCTTCCCTCAACACCATGTCTTAGGAAAAAATTCACGTCATTTTCATCAATATCATTTTCATCATCTATATCATACTTCTGTAGTCCCTCTAGTAGCTTTACTGCAGCTAAATGAGCAAACCTATAGAGGGGAAAATCAATAATTAACAAACTCCACAATCTTCCAAACTTAAACAGCAGTTTGCACTTAATTTAGGAGTTATGTTCTGTATCCTGTGCACCCACCCACCAGTACAGGAGCAAAACTGTATCTAAAAGTCAGTGACAACTCAACATACAGCTTAGCTATGTAGGAAAATCCTATGGACAAGCAATCATATTAAATTAATAGGGATTAATAGGGATAAATTTTATAGGGATAAAAAACCTCTCCAACTGGAAGAAAAGACCCAATATCAAAAATTATTTGGTATACCTCCAAATAGAGCTACTCACTGAATAGAAAGTCTAGAACCACCTTACTTGATTAGTTGTATTTACCATTTTGTTTTGAAGACCTCACTTAGACTACAGAATTATTTCCAGTTCTTGTTTTTAAGGCTAATTATAGTTCTATAATTTTCGCTCTTATGGGAAAGTAATTACTTTTCAATCCATGTTTTGTGTCTTTTTTACACTTTCTCATATTTCTATGACAATTTCAGTAATAATCACTTGGTTTGGGAATTATTGTGTTGACATCTAATCTGCATATTTTATACATACTTTTCCTAGCATGCAATGCTTTCATTCTTTCTTTCTCCAAAATACTACACGCACATATAGCATTTTGGTGCTTAAATGACAAAGAAACGTGGGTCAGAATTTATTAATAACAGATACAGCCATGGTAATAGTGATATAAAGGCAGACAAATGAAATAAATCCACACACACACACACACACACACACACACACATACATATATATATGGATAACTAACTGGGACAAAGCACAAAGGCAAAGCAGTAGAGAAAGGACAACCCTTTCAATAAAGGACGCTAGAACAATTCAATATCCATATACAAAAAACTCTAAAAGAAAATCTTTGTGGTTTTGTCATAAGGTATATGATTCCACTTATATGAAACTCTAGAAAATGGAAAATTAATCTATAATTATAGTGCTTGCTTAGGGAAAAATTAAATGTCGCAAATAAAAATTAAATGACAACTTATTGAATGATTAGGACCTTTCATCCTGTAAGCCTCGTTTGCAATTTTCATTTCATACTCCTACTTTGGATTCAAGCAGTTTCAAACCAGACATAGTCCTCAAACACACAACTCTTACAACTCTTCCTTCTTCAAGTGTAGTATAAATATTGCTTCCTCAAAAGTAAGTTAACCTTGGTCTCTATATAAATTCTTCCTCCCTACAATTTCTTTTGTAACTCTTACCATAATTGTATTAATGTTTCTCCCTCAAAAGTTTTGAATAGAAAGTACTGCATCTTTTCTCCTATGTTTTTACTGTGCCTTCCATATAATAAATAATATTATGATCCAGTTAGTAATAATTATATATACACGTCAGCCTTTCCATCAGACTGTAAGCTTCTTGAGGGCACAGGGTGTGTTCTTCTTGCCTGTCATTCTAATGTCCACCATAATACTTGGAACATGGCATTTATTCAGGAAGTTGTGAAGAAACTACCAAATTAACAAATGAACTAAATATTCCTCCGGGACAGGACTTTTTTTTTTTTTTT